GGCTATCCACAGACAATGGTATAATTCAACTCCTGTTATTGGTGCATATGAAAATTTAAATATAAGAAGAACTAACCCTCATGCTACTTAATGAATATCCTAGCACATAACAAATGAATCAGGTGATGCCCGACCTCATTGTAGGTGTCGTCTGCCCCTTTAGGAATAAAAAGACATTTGCATAGTAAATTTGAGTCTGTAGAAGCAACGCTTGCTGGATATTGGCTGGCAGAATGATGTGCCTGAATGATCTGATAACAATTTTAGTCCATTGCTAGTGTAACCTATAAGAGTTAAGGAATAGGTAGGAATGGTTTTCTAACAAGATAATGCCAGGCTTATAAGAAAGAATAAATTTAGTACAAAAGGTAACAAACACAACATATACATAATATCTCTTGCTAAACAATTGAAGAGGCATTTCATCAAAGTATGTTGTGAGAGCCATTGCACAAATCTCTATTTTTTAATATTGATTTTCATTTATAACGGAAAATATAAAGTTTGAACAACATTTAAAGAACCATAATACAGCCATACTTAATATGGAAAACCTTTTACCACTCCCAATTCTTTACAAAAACATGTTGCTGTCAATAAATGTTAGCATTCTTAGATGCATTAAAATTAGTTTAGGATTCATTTAAAATGTAACAAGACTAAAGACAAATGAAGATTATAATCCAGAACTGTGGAAATATGGCCCTGCATTTATTTAAGTTTTTCTATAAGGTGTGCTTTATGTTGTTGTTTCTGTCCAGCTTTTTGGGGACAGGGTCTCTCTTTGCTGTGGCTAGCTTGGAACTCATTATCTAGACCAGGTTGGCCTTGAACCTTTTCAGAATCCTCTTGCTTCCTCTTCCCAAGTGTTGACATTATATCCATGAACCACCATAATAACATATTTATGTTTTTACTCTTGCCACTACAAAAGTCCTGAAGATCTACCTGCTCTGCCAGATTTTCATTTATCCCACACTGGCCATGTTACCACATTTCTCCTCCCACCGAAGGATTGAACTTGGTGCCTTCTCTCTAGGTGCCTTTACCCTGGGTCTCTTTCTTTTTTAACAATATTATAAGAAGAGCAGAATGCTGTATCACAGGTCTTTGCTTAGGAAAGCAGTTTTTTCTAGGTCTTTTTCTATGCCAGTTGGTTAAACTAAGAATTTGCTCAATTAATGGGTGAGTACTTTCCTAAGGTTGGTCAAAAAATAAGATAGGTAGGGCCTTACCTGGCACGGTAGCCTAGTAGGTACAGGTGCTTGCCCCCAGGCCTAATGACCTGAGGGCTGATTCCTGCAAGTTGCCCTCTGACCTCCACACATACAACAAAAAGTAAATGCATGTAAGAAAAAAAAAAAAATCAAGGCAAATGCCAAAAACCATAACCCCACAATATTAGGAAAATGAAGGCGTTGATGTGTTATCTATTGCAGATACTTTTATTGACTCCAGTCAACAAGTAATCCAAAGGAGAAATTAGTTACACGGAGCCCCAGCCTCTAAGAGTATTTGAAGTGCTTCCCTTTGGAGTATACTTATCATTAATTGAATTCTTCTGATAGGTAATCTATAACTCAATGTAAATAATCTCTAAATTTTCCTGTCACTGGGAACAATGTCTTAATTGCCTTTCAAAACAAATAGCACCATTTTGTCAGTCAGAATCTAATCTTTACTACCACAGATGTTTTCCTGCTTGCCAGAACTGAGTTTCTTAAATTATAGAGAACATTTGAAAACTTCACACTACTTGAGATATGGACTTAGGGATTTCTGGTGCAGCCACTTTATTTATTTATTTTTAAATGATGAAGGCTGTGTTTCCTATTAGTTTGATGAATTCCCCCTATTTACATCATTGGTGTTAAAGAACTATGGCCGCTCTCCAGACTGCAAGTGGTTTCAGTGATGCTGGCAGACCTCCAAAGGTATTTTACAGCTTTCTCAACTTTGTGGGAAATGAGTGATTAAGTACCTGTTGCTGAAGGATATTTGAACTTTCTCTGACCATCTTGGGTCTGTGATGACAAGAGACCAGAACCAATTGGCAAGGAGGGAAGCAGGAGCTGCACCTGTCCCCATCTATCTGGTGAAACAGTCAGAGCTTGGGAGGAGACAAAGGCACTTGCAAGAGACTGTCTTGTCCTATTGAAGTGTGGAGTTGTAGAACATATAACTGCTTTATGGTGTCAAGATAAACATTTGCATGCAAACTCCGTAATGGATAATTCTTCACTTTGGTGACCTAACATATCTATAGACCAAGGAATGTCAGGAATTTTAAAAGAAGTGACAGCAAGTTATCAGCAGCATTTTTGCTAGTCTTAAAACTCCATTATGAATTAAACAAAATTTGAAGCATGAATCATCAGTAATGCTCATTTCAGCTGTGAGTCAAAAGACTAAGGCTCAGATACCTTTTGCTAGAAAGGAAAAGTTCAGAGTAAAAATAACCAGAGAATTGTGTATGCTTTTTAATATACTCCCCGGGTCT